ACCCGCCCCCGCCGTGCCAATCTCCAGAGATATCTACCTTAGCCTAAGGGGTATTTTCCCAGTTCGTTGCCCTGAACTTCAACGTGCCAAAAAGCCAGTATGTCACAGAGCTCGGCTAAGATTAAATATGGTTTTCTAACCATATTTAGTAGTAAACACAGAATTGTTTACAATATAAAATCTTTCCCTGTCTTTGGCACAAGCGCAGAAAAGAGAACTTCAACATGCCAAAAAGCCAGTATGTCACAGAGCTCGGCTAAGATTAAATATGGTTTTCTAATTTTCAGAATTGTTTACAATATAACATCTTTCCCTGTCTTTGGCACAAGCACAGAAAAGATGAAGACATCTTCCATTCTTCAGTTACCTGTAGGAACCATGCTGGCCCACTGGAGCACCCAGCTCCACAGGGGTGCCAAAGGTTGTTTAAAGAAAAACATTTTCTTGTTCTTTACAAATTAAATCCAGCATCTGCAGGTCTGTGGCCTAAAAGGTCCTTTTCTCTATCCTGTGGTTCTTCCCATAACATAAAACCAGCATTTAAAAGCAGTCACTGTGATTTGGACAGTCTTCAACTGACAAACCTCAACTCAGGGCTCAACCACTTCACGTTATGTGGAAAATGGAAGCAAGAACCCACATCAGTTTAGAGAAAGGTGAGCAAATAAGAGGTGGGAAAACAAATATTCTTTGTTATGTAGTGAACCTACCTGGATAGTGAGACCTGGTGCCATGACATTGAGATCTTTCTGCAGGGCCAACTTCAGATTCTCATCTATCTGATCTGTGTTGGGAGAACAAGAGAGAGACCACTTAGCTTATCATCTTTTCTCTTCCAGGCTGTGTGGCAGAGAGTCAGTTGGCCTGGAAATGCAGAGATCCCTATGGTGTAAGATAAAGATGCTTTTTCTGATCATTCAGTATATTGTTTCCCTTCCTGGGAACATATGCTCCCTGGAAAATGTTCCTGAAAGGACAGCTACATGCTAGTGTCTCTAGGAAGGTTCAGCTACTGAGGAACTCATGGTATCTGAGCTAAGGGTCAACAGGTTTCAGTGTCTCAGCAAGAAAAAGCACCCAGAGCATGTGGCAGAAGTCTATCACTTCATAGCTGGAGCGACACCAACCCCGCTGCCAGCAGCAAGCTCTGCCTTAAGTCTCTAGCAACCAGCAGGATCCAGTACCTGCTACTCAAAAAGTTCATCTTGTCACTTCCAAGCTCCAGGAAGATCTTTCCACAGAAACAGGCAGTTACGAATGGATTAAGATGCACGCAGCACCAGGAAACTCCTCTCTAACTGCAGATATTTGCAAGTCTGAGTACAGCATTCAAAGATTTACAGTGTCTTAATATTAAAATATTACCTGAATATTAAAACATTACTATTCATAATAATAAAAACATTATCTTAATATTAAAATTCTGACACACTTTTCTCTTTCATGAACCTATTTTGCCCTGCTCTGCCACTCAAGAAAGAACGTGACACTGGTTTGTCTTTGGGGGTACCATGAAGCAGAACATTAAACTTCTCAGTTCCTGAATCACCGCTACCCCCTTGTGAAAAGACCAGTGCACTGCAATGAACTGGAAGCATGTCCCTTCCAGCTTTCACTTGCTAAAAACATACAGAAAAAAGTTTTTATAGTAAAAAAGTAAACTCAGGAAGAGAACAGGGCCTAGAAGTAGACAAGACAAAACCATTACCATAGTGAAGGCAATGGGCACGACTACACGCACAAGAGGAGAGCGGCTACTCTGCGCCTCCAGAACCCAGTCCTACGTGGAAAGTCAAATTCCCAAATGCAGATTTGGGATGACAGAGAAACTGCAATCATTAAGGAGCAAAGTTACACAGGAAGGGGCATAAGGATATGGAAAGAGCTGGATTCTAGCCTGCAACTCCAGCAGCATGGCTGTTCGCTCACGGGCGCCTGCGGTGACACACTGCCCAGCAGAACAAGGTTACACAGCCCTTGGTGGGAGCACCCAGCTGCCATCCACTCACCGAACAGCTCGATGTACACCTCCTGCAGGGTGTGGGCACTGCAGAACTGGTTCAGCTCATGATGGATTTTATTGAAGATCAAGGTCTTGTCGTAGTCAGCAGTGTAGTTTCTCACAATATCGTACACTGAAGGAGGAAGAGAACTATCAGAGGTCACCACTGACAGGTATTGCCTTTTGCAATGCCACAACAGCTCAGAGTATAGGAGAGTAGTGCAGCACTGGGACAGGCAGGTGAAGGATCTCCATCCTTGGGAGCTTTCAGGACTTGGCTGGACAAAGACATGTGCCCTGCCCAGCTGTTAGTGAGAAGCTGCTGTGAGTGGGAGGGAGGTCACAGGAGAAACCTGCAGAGGTCCCCTCTGCCAGGGCTTATGAATTCAAAGACCAACATGTTTACAGCAAGACATGCTGTATGGCCCTATTTTATGACCTGCATAAACGAACATAACAGTAGAGCCTGTCCAGAACCTGCATGCATAGGGACAGATGGTATTCTCAAGTGAAAAAAGTATCATTCCCACAATTGTAACAAGAATTTACTCTCCAAGGCCTCAGTAATGCTAGAATTTTGCAGTAAGCTCTGCTGCTGAAAAAATGAGTCTTTGGTCCAGCAGCTGGTGAAATAGGAAGGTAAGAGGCTCTTCCACAGACTGTGCCATTGTAAGTTTTCCAGGAGCTGAGCTGGCAAGTACCTGCAGGCTTTGTCCCATGTATTTAGTTTCACAGGTGGTCTCCCCTTCAGCTGCAAGAAACAGGATTGTTTGAGCAGCATCACCTCTCTAAATGTACAGGGGAGAAGTAATCCTAAAATTTATCTTTGCAAATCTGTGGCTCTTTGACAAGCTTACAGACATACGCATGAAATTCAGTGCTGCAGTACCAGGAACCCTGCAGATAACAAGGCACGGAAATGGACGTCTTGCACACCAAGACAGAGCTGCTACAGGGTACGTGAAGCCAGACACAGTGCTGCTTGTTGCAACAGGACAAAAAATACCTGCATACGGTGCCAATTTATTCACCACTTCTATTCGGTCAATGTAGATCATAACACCGCCGCTGGAAGTGAAAAAGTACTCATTAATTATTACAGCAACCGTGAACAGCAGCCCACACTTAGAGAAAAGTCAGCTTTATCCCTCTTCTACTAAATTCTGCTAAACTTACTCAGAACAATCCTGACTGCTTGAGCATTTTGCAAACGGATGGAAGCAAACCCCAGGTTTGTACAGGCCGGTACCTCTCTCCCCATAGGTCAAAAGCGTGCTCCAGCAAGTCTGCAAAGCACCTTCACTTTATCTCCTACTCCATCAGCAAACAGAAAATGGTTTTGAATAGGAATGTAGCTGCAACTATCAGGAAGGTGGAGTCCAACACAAGGAAGGGAAGACAACAAGGACAGCAGATGACACCTGCAAGCAGCAGAGCAGCTACAAACTGCAGCTCTTCTAGGCAGAAAATACACTTTAAATAGAAAAGCCCTTAATTTAAGTTCATGTATTTACTAACTCAAGCAGGAATTTTGAAAAAAAAATCCTGTTAGAAAGGAAGAAACAAAGCAAGTAACAGACTTTAATTCACATTCCCTGCTTCAATGTCATGTTGCAAAAGACTCTCCAGTAACATCTCAACTGTGCCCGTGCCCAGGCATGTGCACTGTCAAGAAGCTCCAGACACCTCCCTGGAAGAAGCCTGTACACAGTCCTCTCTCCACACGACCACGTGCTGCTGGGCTGGCAGAGAAAAGAGGCAATCAGAGGTGGGGCTTGATCCCAGCCTCTGCTCTTGCTGATGTGGCTTTCAGCAGGTCATGCCCACCCCTGGGTACCCGTGACACCAGGGAAAAGCACAAACTCTACAGCAAAGAAATAAACCTTCAAGAGCTCTTAAGTCTCTCAAGAGCACATTTGCAAAGCGTAATGTTCTTGAGATTTTGTCCTCAGAGTGAAGGCAAATTACAAACAAGAACCTTTAGTAGAAACTCTTTAGAGGCAGCTGATCCCCAGAAGCATATCTCCCACATTTCCAAACTTCCAACTTTATGGCATTTTAACACAAATGTATCCCCGATGACAAACTCAGGTTTTTATTTTGGGGTTCTTGAACTCCGGCAGTTGAAAGCTAAGTCTGCAGAAAACTCACAGGACCTCACCTGCATCTGTGCTCTTTTAGAGGTCTCCCAGGCACAGCCTGTGCTCCCTCTGTGCCAAGCTATGAGCTATAACCATTGACGATGCACTCAACTGGTCTGCTGGAAGGGACAAGCGAGCAGACAAGGTATTTGTGGCTCAAGAGAGACAGAATTCCCAGTGAGATACTACTATTTAGAGTAGTAATCACTTTTTCACTCAGGATTTTGCTTTAGGCCACAGTCATCCTTGCTCTCTCTGTCTTAAGAACAGTTACTATTACTTACTATGTATTACTACTACTTTGAAACAAGACAGGCTTACTCAAGATACCATGAGATACCCAAGCTATACCCGAGATACTATGAGATACCTTTACAGATATGTCAGG